TGGGTGGTTGTTCACGGTTGTGCACTGTACCTGGATTCACATTCCTAATACAGTAAAGATGCAGTTTGTCCATCTATGCATCGCTCACTCAAGCAAAATTTGTCTCCAGGGCTGTGGTTGGTTCATCATGCATATTTATCTGTACCGCTGCCCTCATTCCGTTCAGTTTTTCCTTTTCACTCTCCGCTGTCGAGCCCTCAGTGCTTGTTGACCTCCTACTATCGATCTGTCCTACCTTTTTAGCTTGTCCGTCCAGTTACCGAATGCAGACGTGCGTTGCTGCACGTGAACACGGATTGCATAGAAGCAATTTTGTCCACGCCACCGTTCTTACACCAATCGATTGTCGTCTAACAAGCTGTTCGCTCAAGGTTGTTGTCCATCAGCTGATTTGTTGATCATTTCATTGGTTAACCGGTTGAGTAGTGGGTCCGTCGGTCGGTCTGTTTATCGCTCACTTGTTTGTCGGTAAGGGCACGTGCTTGAAGGGCGAGTGGGACTGTCATTGTAGCCTGACAAAAACTGAGCAGTTTCACTGGATGCTCAGTAACGCGTTCACTGTCAGACGCATTTCATGAGCCGGTCTTTTCGCATAAAATAATTTTCTGACCTGCATCACCACTAAATAAAAAGGCAATCGCCTTCACGTGACTGTTCTGTTTCGACGAATTCTGTCCTCGCCTGTAGGTATTCAGTTTTCAGACGTTTGTTGAGCTGGGCAAATTAGCAAGTATTGAGTTCATTTGAGGAAATCACATTTAAGCCCGTCATAAACGCCCAAAATGGCGAGACGCTATCAAAGGGAATTCAATTCAAATTGTAGGTGTGACAAATGTGGTTAGTGAACTAAATATGTAGATGAAAAATCTCTTCCTTGCATATAAATACAGCCTTCGTGGTTCATGTAGGCTCTGATTCACTTATTTAGGTGATTGTCAATTATTCATATTGATTAAACACAAATAATCTCATATGTAGTCGGTGGTAAGCTGTGGTGAACTAATAAACCACCAAGTACGTATCTTTCATGCGCGTTTTTCTCTTTTATTATCCTTGGACTAGACATTTATAACCTTTCACCGCCACCCAACTTTCGCACTTCCTGCATTCTATGCCAAATATATGATTGGCCACTACCCCTCTGGAAAATTAGTTATTCAATTGTGTACTCAATAAAAGCGGGTGAAGGCAACTGAATGCTGATTCTGGGCCTGGTGACGTTCAGCTCGTACCTAGCATTCTTTCATTGTACAGGTATGTGATTCCTGCAGGTGATTACAAAGGTTCAATTGAATCTGGAATAAAAACATAAGTGAATGGGCCGCTTCGTTGACCTAAATTTATCTTTCATTGTTGTCTGATTGAATCTCACGGCACCCGGACTAAAATGTGTCTAAGAAAGGATACAGCCTGTATTCGAGAGCGGCGGTTTGTGTTTCTATCACGATGAAAGCCTGCTATCCCTGTGTATGTACATTCACAAAACCAATTCGTATGAAAAAGCGGGTCACGAACTCTCCGCATTTTGTCGCACCTCTTTTCATCCATTTCCCGTTAGGCTTCATCTCTTTCGTACGATGAAAACACAATTTGTTTGATGAATGAAATTTGTTAGTTTTTTCTGGTACGTCCAATTCGACGTGTCCGTGTATTATTTACCTGGGTATTGTTCTCTCGCCACAGAATCCAAACTCCGTTCGACGATGGGCTTTCTGGCTCTCCAACACCGACCACACCAGTTTGTGGACGACCAGAGGACGACGGACAAATAGCCGCTCCACCCGGCGGCGATACGGTGGGGCATGACGAAATCAGCGATGCGGACTATTATGCATCAGCAACGTACGACGACGGACGTCCGGGTATTCCTGTACGAGCACTGTATGATTACACGGGACAAGAAGACGACGAAATTAGTTTTGTGGCCGGTACGTTTCATCGCTGCGCCTGTAGGATCTCGATTTCTCTAGTAGTGATATGCATACACATGCGCATGCTGTAGGCTGAATTCGTTGGTAACACATTTTATTTAGGATTTTGATCCATTTCGGTGCGAATCCCGGATTTTCGTGTTGGTAAGAATACGCTCAGTTTCTGCAGTCTTTTTTCACTCAAGTAATAGTGTCCAAACTGGAAAGTGAACAACCAATCGGTAGCGATATTCACGAATTGCACTATATTCTGTTTGTTTTCCTCAAGATTACAACTGTAGCTATTAAATTCTGAGGGTGGAACATTCTCTCCTGCAGCATCGGATTGCCGCGTTAGAAACCTTCAATAGCACATTTCTTCCCGTACAGTACTGCGACTCAGAAAACGTGTGACCCCGTTGCTGTTATATGATTTTTATTTTATGGTAGTTTTGTTTCTTGCCCGTCGGTGTTTTTTATTGGAAGATGTGGACAAAAAATACATCGACGGTGTACACATTGGAATACATAGTAATAAAATGGGATACATCCGGGACCGATTCGAATTACATCGACAGGTTTGCAATTGCAAGCCAACCGACCCCTTTCAAACTCAGCTTAAGCAATTCTGTAGACGGATCCACCACCTTTCGGCAATTCGGAGTTTTTCTAGTGAATACACGGCTACTTCATGGGACGGATTTGATTTAAATGAAACTTTTATCCCTTTGCTTGTTTTCTTTCTTGACGGATGCACGTTCAGGTGTAATGCACGGTTAAGAATTTCGATATATCTTTTAATCTCTCTGCGATAAACTGAACCGACTGGTTTCTCCGTTTACCGCATATGAGGTTGCTTTGATAAAATGTTTCCTGAACTAGACNGACCAACTTTCCTTTTGATTTGATATTTTCTTTTCGTATACGGTATCTCTCCCGCCCGTTATTTCAGGGGACCGTTTCGAGAAACTAGAGGAGGCCGATGATCAGGGATGGTGCAAAGGTCGAAAGGACGGTCGTGTTGGACTGTATCCAGCGAATTATGCGGAAGAAATTGCATCGGCCCCGTGAATTGGTTGTGCGCCCAGTCACTTATCCCAGTCCCACAATAGATGTATAGTACCTCGTTCTCTGATCTGTGTAACCACCGTCCCAGATCTTTATGCGCTCCGACCGGGGAAACGCTCGGATGTCTATAATCCACCGGTTATTGTCATCCCATACCTCGATCCAAACCTAATTTCGCAAAACTTTATGATAACTATCACACACACACACATTAGCATGTGGCTGAGTGTACTTTGATGTTGTTTCTAGACTTTGCCGTTTTCCGCCTTGCACCCTCCTGGATCGCGCGAACTACGACATGTTGAGCTTGAACAACTGACAATCAGCCAAACGACTTTTCGGAATGTAGTATATTGTGCTTCTGTTGAACACTGCCATTTATGCGAATAATTTATCCGACCGGAATTCAAGTAACGGAAGTCGACACCCATCCTTCGGTTTCCAGCCGCTCTCTTCAGCTCATCTGTTCCAATTCATTCACGTTATATGCCTATATTGGGTTCGGGTCACCAATAGAAACACGTGTTTAGAGTTGAATCAGTTCTTTTTGCCACTTATTCCCGACTCCATCACGAACATCTGTACCGTTTTCATTGAGGTACCGTGGTTTCTGTCTTCATTCGTGGACACTTTGTCCATTCAACGGTGTTTTGAGTTGCTATCCGATCCAGTGACATTACACACTCGTATCGCTTTTTATTATAATCCAATGATGTGAAGAAAATTATTTACATATGTATGCATATTCATACATACATATACATAAGTATATATATATATATATATCCTCACACACGGATATTTATATTGTGTCGGGTTTAATTGCCCTAGTCATCCTGACAGACAAACGGACTGACTTGTAAGCCCCACATCCATGTGAGCTTGTTTCGCTGCTCACTTGATGGAATGGTCTGCGGAATTCCCCTATGTTTTAGAATCCGCGATCTTTATGCCATCCCTTGCGAATTCGTTCTCCCTGTTCTTTTCCCAAGTCCAGATTTATGTTGCACCGTTTTCTACCGCTTGCTGGTCATTTTCTGAGCATAACTTTAATCTTTATCATTCATTTTTCTTTGACCACCCTCGAAATATGTCTAGCATCATTGATCCAGCATGCTTGCTTGTTTCAATGCCTTTTTGCATTCCTGTTTGCTTGTGTTAGTTGATGTCGCTTTGTTTTGTCGCTATCCCGTCATATGTTTATCCCTCGCAGTTGACTACTACCACCAATCCTTTTCGCGGTTAGAGGACTGTCTTGATTCGTGTCTGTCCGCTCGTCCAACACAGTCGCTCCTAATTTTTCCCCACTCGGCCGCTACTCACTGCTCACGATCATGAGCCGTTTCGTCCATTTGTGTCTCCAACCCAACTGAATCTATTCACTTAGCGTCTTATTGCGCAATTTGAGTTCCCCAAGTCAGTGTGCCCGCTTCCACTACCAAAAATGCCACTACCCAAATTGACCGGACAACGTACGTTCCCCTCACAGAACAGACAATCCAGCATGAAATTCAATATCTTTTTGACTTGTTATTCTGGGACCACTTTTATTGGTTAATAGTAGCAGTCCACATGAGCGTTATTCACAAATAGGACTGGTATTCAAGCGGTCTGAGTCACTGTCGTGCCAGGTTATAACACCACTAATCGTCACCATATTTTGATGATAGGCAGATTCGTTGTCGTCCGTCCCAGCACCACGCTCATCGCACGTGGTTCGTCGCTCCAACTCGCAGGGCTGGTTTCCCATGAGTAAACGGTCAATCTGCAGTCCTGTGGTTGTGACCCTTTCTGCTGTCCATTATGTGATGGGTCTGATGTTCCTGCATTGAAAAGGATCAGAAACAGCAAAAAGTGAATGAAGTTCCACAACATTTGTGAATACAGTATTCAGGTGTCGGACTTTGCAAATTGATAGTAGTGCAAAGTGAATAGACTTCTGTGTTGGAAGGGAGACCAATGTGGAATGCAGCACAGAAGGCAAGCAACCAACTATAAAGTTACAGGGAATACAAAGATACAGATGTTGACAGTAAATTGCATGAATATGAAGTTTTTCCCGAGAACAGTTTCCAAAAAGAAAACATTGCATTACTGCGCAATTAATGTCCTGGACGGGTTACCTGCATCTCAACATGGTGCACCATGCAAGTAACACAGTTTTCATAAGGCTTTAGCACGGTAACAGTAAATTGAAATGCATTAAAACAGACAAACATAAAAGAGGGATTATAAGTAGAATCACGTCACCAGGGTAAATCCTAGCTAAAATAGTCTTTTTTATCGACGTAAACCTTAGCCATTTTGCGGTTCGTGACTGGAAGACAATCCGAAACGCAATGCTTCGGTTGGTATGGTGTTGTGCTCAGTTATGTCCTATGATGTGGTCTTGTAGATTCGACCGTCGTTTGTATGCCACCGACTTAACCTCATTGGCATCCTCGGTTCGAACTTAGTATGACCACATCACTATTTTGATGGGCTTAGCGACTCTACTACCACCGTTCGGTTTCAGTTTATTTTGGCAAGCAGCTCACGCCATCACCTTTGATTTGAAGGCACAATGTGACAGAAGAATATGAATACCGAAAAATGTAATCACTACGGGTGATATGCAGCATTCAATACCCTAAAGAGAACGAAGGAACCTGTTAGGTTTCCGTCAGCTCCCGAGCCCAAAATTGCTGTTTTCTTTCCGTCGAGGTTCCACACCGTACCACTGATGAAACTTTATGAATCAGTGTTACAATGGAAGTATATGAATAATACAGACTAACGTTTTCGCCAAAGCAGTTCAGTTTCAGTTTGTACAACCATTAACCATGCAATATCNNNNGTTTTGGTTGCTATCTTTCGGCTACCCATTTGGATGAGCATTAGAAGAAAGACGGGAAAGGTTGAAAGTAGGATCCAAGAGAATATTGAAAGTTTCAGTGGACTAATGATACAAAGAAATCAAGATGACGCACGAACGCCACTGTTTACGACACCCCGCCAAATCACTCAGTGTCTCTAACCATCGGGTAAGACCATGTCGAGGTCCCGATGAAGGGAGCCTAACGGGACCTATGTGACCCAGCCTCCTGGTTAAGGCTTTCGTACCCTCATGCCATGTCTTAGCTTGACCACCCTTGGCTTTCTTCCACTCACC